GGGCGCCGGGACCCCCGGCGAGGCTGCCACAGCCGCGCGCGTAGCAGCGCCCGAGCCCGCTGCGCAGGAAGGTCGGTGACTTTCTGTTTGTTGCCTCGCTCCGCGCCCTCCCGAGTCGCGCGCGGAGGGAAGGGTGCAGAAGAGTGCGTGCGCCCTCGCACCGCCTGCATACAGGGAAGTCGGGAAGGCAGCAGCCGCCCGCGGTATTTTCAGGGGTACCCATTGGACGGTGGGTGGGGTGGCGGGGCCTTGGGAGCCCGGGGAAAGAAGAGCAGGGCGGGCGGGTCGCGGGGGAGGTGGTCCTGGGAGTTGTGTTCTCCCAAGCGCTGGCAGAGTTGGGTGCGCGGCTGGGGCAGGAGAGCGACGCTGCCGGCGGCTCCGCCGAGTCCTCGGATGCCCCCGGAGCTCCGGTTGGAGGGAGCCGCCTCGTGCCCGCGCCGCGCGCCCCAAAGCCCGCGCACGCCCCCGGGGGTCCCTCCGTAGTCCCCGAGTTGGGCACCTTCCCGAAGTTGCCCTGGGACCATTCCTGGGAAAAGAGAGCACAGTGGCCTTGGGGGTCTTTGTAAGCACTCGCGCGCCTGGGCGTTTGCTTCTGGAAGGACAGCTGCAGGACAAAGCAGACTGGACTCGTGGGGCGCTGCTTGAACGGCGGCGGTCCCCATACCGCCTGCGGTGGGGGTGTGGTAGTAGGGGTAGCGCTGGGCGGCTTTAGGAGAAGGGAAATCGCCAAAACATAGCGACAGCAGCTTGATGAGGTGGTGGAAGGAAGCAAAGGATGCTCCTGAATGCTGCGCTACTGTATCTTCCTGGGCGGGTGTCCCGGCGCCCCACTTTCTCATTTGACCGGGTTTACCTAGTGTATTTCGCTAGCGCTATCTTTACCCTGAGGTGGTAATCTTTGCCCTTTCCTATTCCTGTCTGAGAGAGTACTGCTGCTACGGTAGTAGAGGCTTTGCCACTGGAGAATTTAGGGGCGGGGGAGACTGCGGAGGAGGCGGGATTTGGTTATTTAATCTAGAGAGAAAATTAGGAGTCACTATGCCCCTTCCTTGTCCCACCAGCCCATCACAACTCAGCCCTTTCCTTCCAGTGCGCCCACCCTGGCCCGCTGGTCTGGGAGAGCGCTTGGATTTCTTTCTGTGCTGCGCGCAACTAACCCTTTCTGCATGTATTCCACTGCAGGCTGAACAAAGCTCAGTCTCAATTGTGCTTCCTGCTTGTCAGCCTCTTGCTTCGCAAACGCTTACCATTCCCACTTGGTGTCATCATGCAGAAAAGGGTGAAAGGGACTCGGTGACAGATGCAGGTAACCCCCAGTAGTCTGGGAAGCCACCTGGGTGTCTCTGGGCCATTTGGGCCCACAGTGTTGGGGCTGTTCGGGTGGTTTCTGCATCAGCAGTATTCCCATCTGTGTATGAGTGGGGGCTGCTGAAACCCTTGATTTGGAGAAGAAATAGCAAATGGCTTCAAACCTTCCTTTTGAAGAATTCATTTGGGTAGGGTGTGTATTGGGGTTTGTATAAATTACACGTGATTGATGGGACTATTGATATGATCAGTACATAGACAGTTGTATGTGAATATGGGGACCGGGTATAAGACAGCATTCTTATCTATACTAATGTGTTTGGACCTCAGTTGATAGGTGAGGTATCATTCGTTGAAAGGGTATCATGGTAAGGCTGCTATTGCAAGGCTGGCTATAAATCTGACCAGTGTTCAATTAAGACATTGGTCAAATACAGTGACCTTCTTATGAAATAATCTTTTCCCCCCATTCCTTCACTGTAATAGTGTTTGCAGTACCCAGAGAATCTGGTTTGCAGTAAGTTGCTGGGAGGTGGCAGGGAGCACTGTTTGGAAAGCAGAAAGAAAACAGAAAAGGAAGCTTTAGTTAAGTTTCCATTTAGATAGCCATGAACCATTAGACTCAGTCTGCGTTTTATGTTAGGATGTTTGTTCTTTAAAAAACAAGATAGAACAACCTCTGGCCTGTTCTTTTCTTTCCAAGGATAGTTTTGATGTTGTCCTGACTAGGTCTTGGGTTTTCTTGATGGAGTGCAATGAAAATGTAACCTTCAGAACTCCCAGGGCACCTTGGTATTGGCACTGTCTCCTAGAAGGCAGAGCCCTGCGCATCCCACACAAGTAGCAGGGAATGAGAACAGTTATGGAAATAGACTCTGGGTTTTCTAATAGGAAGAAGACTGCTGAAGGCTAGAGGTGACCAGAACTCATCTTTGCACTGCAGCACAGTACAATATATGGCAAATTCCCATTGGCATTTTACCCCCCTAAGTATCTTGAAAAACAGTTTCAAACTTAAAAGATTTGTTATTCACCTCTGGGGTAGTTTTGTTTTGAAAGGTGACTTGAAAAACAGAAGTTTGACACTAGCATTTATCCTTCTACTGAAAGCACTCAGGAACCACTAGCAGAAGCAGGTGAGTGATCAGGTTCCCACTGAAACAAAGGCCAGTGCTTTGGAAAGATGAGGTTAGTACTATGGTGGTAGGATAGAGGTATTTTGACAATTGATTTTTATGTCAGCAATAATGCTGGGTGTGTACTGTTTTGCTGCAAGAAGAAAGCCCACGTGATGGGATAATAGGGATTGTGATAATGCAATAGAAACAAGGGTGTGGTTTTTTTCAAACAGAAAAAATAAATACCTCACACATAAAATTCCACATGGGAAAACAGCTGCCTGCACATGTAAATGCACGTCCAAGAACAAAGATAGCCATAGTGCAGTGTTAGGTTTCATTGTGGTTTTAAATTGTGTACAGTGGTAAGTCATAATAAAAGTGCTGTATTGTGGCATAATTTATTTTATTTTAGAAGGAGGCTTCCCACTGCCAGATGTCTGCAGCAGTGTTTAGATTTAGGTTGGATGAGCCCTAGAGGTTTTAGACCGACCTTTGGATGCCTTGCTTTTCTGCATTGTGCATTCATTCATTCAGCAGATGTTTACTGGATACCTGATAGATAATGGGCTCTGTGAGAGTGCCAGGAGATGGGGGGTGGGGTGGGGATACAAAAATATATCACCTTCCAAGATTTATATAGACATGGAGAAAGGGAGAGCTGCTGGTAATGCAGTTCAGTGAAAGCTTCACAGAGATGAACAAAGAGTGGGTTGGACTTCTGAGGACAAGGCTAATCCGGCATCTACTTGAATGCCTCTTCTAGTGGGGAGCTCTTTACTTCCTAAGTGGCTGGGCCTGTAACTAGGTGTCCTTTTCTCTACAGTCTTCATACTCTTTCAGCTGAGTTCCATGTGAACAGTCAGGTTCTACCATTGCTGGGAGGTCTTCTCTTTTTGTCTACAGTGTCAGCACCCTCTACTTTTCAAAGTGTGGCTCAATCCCTGTTGTACTTAAATTTTGAAACAAACTGTGCTTTTCTGTTATCTGATTTAGAAAACAGATTGGGGTGGGAGCTTTTACAGATTTCTTTTGTTCTTTTTTTAGATGTGTATTATCAGGAGAGGTTAAATTCCGCTGCAGTAACAACTATGTCCACCACTCCATGCTAAATGCAGTTCGTTTCCCAGGCTGTGTCCAGTGTGATTGGCAGGTGGTCCCTGCGCCTTGTAATCATGCAAGGACCTGAACTTATAGACGCTTGACTTTATGGGGGTATGAGCCATTTCTGCAGCATTAGAAAGGAAATGCTGTGGGGTGTCACTCTAGTAATTGTGGGATTCCATCCAATCCTAAGTTATATGGCTCCATCCCAAAGCCCGTCATATGACCACAGTTATCCACAATTCAGTATTTCTTGTATAGATACAGGGCAATAGCACTAGGAGTTTCACAGGTGATCTGGCCTAAGAAAGTTATGAAGTGTGTCCAACAGGACCTGGCTTACTGATTGAAAATTTTGGGTGTTTTATGGGTATTGATAAAATGAATGAATGACAAACATGTTAAAAATTTAGTCCTATCTCAACCTGTAATTTAGCAATATGTTAGTATGATATGTACTAGCATGATTGTTGCTGGTCATTAAATAAAGAAAGCTACAACTTTTTGCCTGTTTTATCTGCTTTGAGCACTGGTTTATTGTGAAGCAATAGACAAGTAGGTATTTTCAGGGCTAATGCTAAGAGGTTACATGGCCAGTGTTATGTAATAGAGATGTAGCTTACAGACATTCTCTCCTTTACCATCTTCTTCTTCTTCTTCTTCTTTTTTTTTTTTTTTTTGCGGAACCAAGGACTGAACTCAGGCCCTTGCACATGCCAGGGAAGCGCTTATTCTACTGAGCCATCTCCCCGGCCCCCACCATCTGCTTCTTGTCTTAGACTTCCTGAGTTTTTAATGGCCCAGTGTAGAAGAATGGCTTTGAGTCACCTAGGAAGAGACCTTTTGTAGCCAAGGTGAGGGTGTGGTATGACTACCATAAATAGAGAGAACAGAAATGGGTTTAAAGAAAGCATAGATCACTTTCTTGTTACTTAAGAGAAGCAATTTGGACAACAATCTTCTTGTGGTCACAGGACTAATACCCAGAGAGGTCTGGGACATGCTTGCTTCCTTCTATCAGCTACCAGGTTCGCTGTGAAGGTGGTTAAGTTTAAATCACTTCCTTGCCACACTGCCTGAGAATTGGAAGTCATAGAATAGGTGTTGCTAGCAGGTGTGGGCCAAGCAGTTGGCAACTTCCAGAGAGATATCACTTTGAAGAGAACTTCATTTAAATGTCTTTATTTACATTAAGATATCTGTATGTATAGATTAGAATTTTAAAGTTTTGATAAGTACTGTAGGCATAAGTCTGGAATTTAACAAAATTGCTTCTGGATCAGTAACTACCTTGGCAAAAATAATTTTTATAGACATCTCTGTATATAGAAATGGCACATAAAGTAAGTTAGACTCCAAGTCACCATGATTGCAGGGACACTGATATTTAGGCCTCTAATAAAGGCCACTTTCTAGTCCAACTTTGAGTTGTAAGATACTGCACCCAAGGGGTTGTGATTTAAGAGATAGGCAGCTTGGAGAAGCAGATACACAATGCACCATCCAAGAACCAGTTCAAGACCCAGGGTTGGACTGAGAGT